TCTGGAATTTAAGAGTAGGTTGATACCCGGTGCATAGGCTGCATCACATCCCAAAAAGGGAGCACAAGTTCTTTATCACTTAATCCCTTTTCGATTGAACTTTAATTGTTTTAACACGTACCAGAAATAGTCTGTTTAAATTTTAATGGTCCCAGCCTCTTTTACAGTTTAATTCCAAAAACAAAACTGAAAATCTCAATAGAAAAAAATATTTTAACGGAGGGCTTGCCTAGAATCCAGACCCTATTACATATGTCCACAGCATGCATACGTGATAGTGGTACCACTGCTTATTCGTTTACCAATGGTAATTTTCTGTTTATTCTGGGTTTATACACCCAAAATGCACATCTGCGATTTATCGGGAGTTTTCAATGTAGGCCCTGCTTTAGGAAGCTTATTGTTGTAGCTTCTTCGGTCATTTCATTACTTGATTTTGAGTCAAAAACATTATGCAGTGCACAGATGCCAATGTCTGTTTCTTAAAGTTTGAGGGTGACGCAAGGGTCCAGGGAAATTGATAAAACTCATCATTTGCCTAATACCTTAGGTCTTCCATCAGAGGTTAATAGTTTTTTGAAAGCCGAGTTCTGCACGAACCGGTAGATCACCCGCGCATACAATACCAGTAAGAACCCTATGTAAATTTTTCCAGTTCTCGCCCTAACACACCCTAAGATTTTGTTATTCCATGGACGTAATGCTGCTGTTTATTCCACCAATAATAGCGTGTCTTGCTGAGTTAATCCCCAATGATAATCCTTTGAACAAACAATATTGTTGTGTTGTGTTAGTCACAGGGTTGCCTTTCTGGGGATGTACACATACAGTATGTACCTTAACACTTACCTGCTTCTCTTTGGGATTTATTCTAACAATTCCAACTGCAATCCGCACCCTTGCTATTTGCCCGGCTTTGATTCCACATGACTTCAAAAGATTGTCACTAGCATTTGCTATCAGTTCGATAGAATCCAGCTTTAATTAAAATATAACCATGAATTTAAGTACGGTACTTGCATCATAAACAATTTATTAAAATTCACTTAGATATTCGTTAGTGATTATTTCAATAAATCAGAGTAAATTCCTAAAAAAAAAAAATGTCAAAGTGCTTAGTTACACAAATATGATTTTCGTAAATTCAAATAATGAGGCCTAGACTAGCTCTACATCAAAATCCTCAAACCTTATTAATATCTTGGCCACATATTCTGCAATAAATGTCTGCACAAGTAGCAAGTTAATATTTTGTTTTCTATGTTTTATTGATTTACTGACCTCTTCATCCAGTAGGATATCTACAGTTTCCTGCTTCACCCCTTCCTTTAGCATACACTTTAGTAGGTTCAACTCCATTTTCTTTAATTACAGAATAGGACTATGGACAAAGAATTTGGTAAATAATGTTATTTGACATAAATTGATAATAATCCTGCACTTAAAATATAGCCTAGGCCTACAATATTAAAATTGGCCTAATCCAAGAGCATCCACAGTATGGCCAAAAGTAGGCAAAATGGCTCCAGGAAAAATACTAGGCAGTATAAATTACCCTAAATGACAGATAGGTGAAAATGACCAATGATCTAAGTTTATAGTAAAAACTTTTTTTTTGTTTTTAAATCTTCCAACTTTTCAAACGCTGTAAAATAGCAGAAATTGAATCAATAAATCAGGAAGTCGATGTTTAGTACTAGAAGGTCAAAGATTAAAATTTTATTAAATTTTTTTAAAGATATAAACATTTTTATAATGGCCCATTGGTAACTGACATAACGCTAAATTGATGTTACGCTTATTTTTAATGTTAGATTGTGTACAAATTTTTATTTATAATTTAATAATAGCAATAATTAATAAGGTATAAGGTTTAATATTATTATTATTAATATTGTTTGTTTACACATTTTGCATCTCTCCCGCCGCATCATCGATCAACACCACAAGGGTACAGCAATTTTTTACCATGTTAAATATATAAATCATATTATTTGAGCTAAAAACAGGGTTTTTATAAATATGTTTTATGTTGTAAATTTTTTAGAAAATTTTCTATAACAGACCAAATTTTAACTCTGTCGCAAAACATAGTTTTTTCCCCGAGTTATACCAAATAACGAGCAATAAAACACTCACCATAATTTTCAAACGAGTGATTATTTTGCGGGATGGCGAGGGGTGGGGGAAGGGAGATTAAAGAAATACTGCAGATGAACGTTCATTCGCTATACAGTGCAATCAGCAGGAGTCAACAAATTTAACTTCCAATATTTACTCGAGAAATAATAAAGTGCACTCTCCCAATACCGCCCCCCCCCCCAACACCTCGGGGCCGGTTACGATGTTCGGATTTCCGGAAAGTTTGGTTAGTGTAACACTATTACTAGGCATAGGCCTAGCTAGCAAGAGTCCTGTGGGTTCGGTATGACTAGCATACAAAAAGTTAACATACATACAGTGTACGTACAGTACCTGTTGTTTTGCTGTACCGTACAGCAAATTAAATTACCAATAAAACGAATGCTTTTATATTGTTTTTACGTGCATTTTCAGTCTAATATTTTTTCCCTAAACCCCAACACATTCTTAGTCATGATGCCACTTTGCTGGGCGGTTGTTGTAAACATCAGGTCGAGCCTCCGCAACTCTGCCAGCTAATTGATTAATTTTTTTTATGGGGTCATGTGTAAACATGTGCTTAACTGAGATGACCTCAGATCGCCCAAAGTTTTATTGCGTGACAGCTTGCTGACAGAACTTTGTTCATAAATTAAATCTAAATAAATCTAACAAATTTAAATTTTATTCTCTACAAATTTCCTATATTATATTAGCAACATGTTTCTTAAAAGTGTCTTGTTTGACGAATAAGTGAAGCTATGCATTTTTTCATTTACACTGATGAATTTAACGACATCCAAATCCAAATAAACGTCTACTAAAAAAGAGTCAGCTATTGTAGAAACTTGCTTTGAGTTCTGTCTATTTTTAAGGAGCGATTTGTACTTTAAACAATGGAAGGTGTAATTTTCATTTAATCTAACCATGCAACTTCAACGTTTACTGGTGTGTCGTTTTAAATCAATAGGGCGATGTGTATAAGAGACAGCAAAAAGGGAGCACAAGTTCTTTATCACTTAATCCCTTTTCGATTGAACTTTAATTGTTTTAACACGTACCAGAAATAGTCTGTTTAAATTTTAATGGTCCCAGCCTCTTTTACAGTTTAATTCCAAAAACAAAACTAAAAATCTCAATAGAAAAAATTATTTTAACGGAGGGCTTGCCTAGAATCCAGACCC